AAAATAAATGAGTTTTAATAGGACCATTTTGTTGTTTTTTAATAGGTAATTGTGAAGTAGTGCTTCTGGGTTGTGTGTCTGATTATGTCACTTGGTCACCAAGATCCTGGACAAGTAGCTTAGTCCTTCTGTGCCTTTGTAGACCCACCTGAAATAACCTACTCATCTGCCTTGCAGCAGAATGGCAAGACTTGGCTTACATTTGCAAATGCTTTATAGAAATACAAAACCACTGTATGAAATTGCAACCTCCAGTCTGAACAGATATAATTAAGGAAATATTTTTGGGGTTCAGAACTGCCTGCATGCCCTCTTGTGTTCCTTGATTCATAATTCAAGTGCCCTAATTCTTTTAATTAGAAATCTTCAAGCCAGTTGCAAAGTCTAATTTACAGAAAACTCATTTATGTTTAGCTTTAGCGTTTTTTTTCTTCATCCTTGTGCTGTGATTTTTATACCCATTCAAATGACAGACTGGACATTAGTGTCATTTCCCTTCAATGCCCATAAACTTAAAATATTAATCCCTTGAGCAACGTGATGATTGAAATGTAGCTTGCCAGATTTGTTACTAATGCAGTTGTTTTTTCAGCTATTTCACAGGTGTCAGAGAGCAGTCCAGGTCTTGCAAAGCAGGTCACGAAACTGTACAGAACAAGAAGAACGTGTTCTCAGGAATGTAGTGTCTTCCTTAGCTCAGTCCCTTCAGGACCTATCCACCATCTTTAGGCACACACAGTCTGACTATCTCAAACGTAAGCATCCGCCAAGCACCTGCTGTCTGTGAGGTACTAACACATCTTTACCCTCAGTTATTTTTTGTGTGTGGGGGAGACTGAAGCACAGGGGGGCTAAGGGACTTGTCTGTGATGACAAAGGATGTGTAAGGACTGGGATTAGAATTCATAGGCTCCCAGCCTGTGCTCAGACCATTTGCTATGCCTCTATTTTTCTTATTTATAAAATAAATATACTTAGCATGTCATACACGTACAGATCTGAAGCTCCTTGGTAACAAATCAATGAGATCCAGTTCTCCTATACAGACTAACTTAGTCAGCATTCAAAGTGTGGACTGTCTTATTGTTTCACAAAATGTGCTCTACGGAACTTACTTTGAGGTAGCCTAGTCTTCAGGCAGTCATACCTGCTAGCTGACAAACTAAAACTCAACAGCCATACAAAAGAGAGAATATTGATACAAAATTGTATGGGCAATATGCTATGTATGCTGCTCATGTAATAGCCAAAAGGCTGTAACCAGGCTGACCCAGTATTATTTTAAACTCTTTCCTGAATATTAATCAAATCTCTCTCTACCACACACTGTATGTACCACAAGTAACATTTGTAATTGGGACTAGGAGGAGAGATGTTCCCAAGAGGATTTCTTTGGTTAGAAAACAGCCCACAATGCCAGACAGGAAATATGTCGCCCTGCAAGCTAATCTAGGTTCTTCTGGGCCCACATCGCCTCTTAATTTTGAATAATACTAATTTATTTTGGGGGGGGTGGGAATTAAAGATGCAGCCACAAAAATATCTCCTTTCAATTTGCTGAATGTTCAAAGGTGTAAATATACTTGAACCTTTTGAAATTCAATGACTCAAATTCTGGTTAGATCAACCTTAAGTGTAGTCAAAGCTGGTCACTTTACAATTAGTAAATGGTACATGTCAGTTCAAATACAGATCATGTCACTTTGGAAAATCTGCCTAATAAATGATGTGACACTGTTCTGCTTGCATAACTTTTCCTCTCCTGCGTATGTCTGGTTTTCTCATAAGCCTACTTGAAAAAGCACCAATCGACTAATTGTATATTCATATTCAGTGCGTTTGTATTTTAAAAGGATAATAGTGAATCTTAGTGACTTTATGGCTTGTGTGTCAAAGTATTATACTCAGCCCAGCTTTTCTCTCTTTCAGGTATGAAAAATCGAGAAGAAAGATCCAAGCATTTCTTTGACACTTCAGTCCCTCTTATGGATGATGGCGAGGACAACACTCTTTATGATCGGGTGAGTTAGGAAGTTGTTAAAGGAAGTTAATGGCTGGGAGGAGAGGGATGGGGGGGTTGTTTTGGTTTTACTGTGGTTTAAATGTCAGACTCCTGAGAATAAATCAGCATCTGATTTGTACATGCCTGACATGTACATCAAACCACATGGAAATTCCATTTTTTATCAATGTAATGTCTTCCTAATAACAGTATTGTCTTCCTAGTAGCAATATTTTAAATCAGTAGGATTTTAAGGACATTTGATTAAAACAAATGTTTCTGTGGATTTTGTTTTTATGCTGATGAGTTGTGACTCGGATACATTCAGTACACACGTGCTAATTGAAAGAAGGAGCATAAATTCTCATTCAGGGTGTTGGGAAATAGGGAATAGCTTTGATATTGCAACATGGGAGACACGAGTTCAATTTCCAACCTCTTCTTGCCTTAGCTAAGAGAGGCTAGGTGAGCTGCAGAGTCAGCACTGTCGCCCTTCCCTCCACAATGCCTGGGAATGAGGATTATCATCAGTTGGCAGGAGTCTAGTTTTAAATGGATGCTGACACTGTTCCTCATGGAGCAATCTCTGAGGCTTGGTTTTCCCTCAGTAAGGAAGTTTTCCACTGAGTCCTTATACACAATGCTTTATATTTACTTCTGCCTTCATACATGTTCCATAATATGCACCTCCATATACTCTATATATCAGATGCATTGCTTAAGTGCCCACGTCAGCACTTCAGGGATTATACATGCCAGTGGTAGCAGGATTGCTTAGTATGCCTCTTGGCACTGCACCATATCCTCTGCTCTGATGCTAAGGGGTTAAGTGGAGAGCTTGTATGGAAAAAGAGTAAGGCTTTATTTCAGTTAACATAAAAATATTGTTCACATGACCTGTACACAAGAATGCTTGAAAATGAGTAGTGTTTTGTGAATGGCCTTGGGAGATGAATAGTAATATTTATACAACATTAAAGGATTCAATAAACACAATTGCTGCTCCAGTACTTGTATACGAACTTCCTATGTTTGTATGAGATCTTCTGTACCACCAGCATTTAGTAGATAGGGCATAACTACTACTACTTAGTATTTTTTCCAGTTTCTTGATTTTATGCATGCATACAAACTTGCTTTCAGACACTAAATTGCCTGTCCTAGAAAGATCTCTAAATGATGGTGCTTTATATCATTTTTTGTGGCAACCCTACATTTCTATTACATATTTAAGGTACAGTTTGTACACTTAACAGATTTTGCCATTATGGGAGTTCCAAAAGGATCTGGCACTGTGACTTTCTTTTTTCATATTGTTACCAGTGTTTCATGTTACTTTTATTTCATCATTTTAAATCTTACATTTCTGCAGGGTTTTACAGATGACCAGTTAGTATTGGTGGAACAAAACACATTAATGGTGGAAGAACGGGAACGAGAAATTCGACAGGTTGTACAGTCAATTTCTGATCTCAACGAAATATTTAGGGACCTCGGAGCAATGATAGTAGAACAGGTACATAAACCCACAGTAAAAGTCCTGATTGAAGAGTAATGCCTCTTATTAAGATTGCCTGTGTTTTCCATTATAAAAACCTGTTTTCATTTGCTTTTATAACGGTGCCAAACTTTAACGGCATTTATACACATACATTTATCTGCTCTGCATGCAAGTTGCTCTGCTTTGCCCACCGCTGCATCACACACATTTGTATAAATGGCAAAATGTACGTCAGCGCTGAGAAAATGGCGGCGGTGCGCTTTTGAACTAAAACACCTTTGATGGTGCGGCACAAGCATGTGTACAAATGCCCTAATAGTTTGGGCTGAAGTTGCTTTCATTGGGTATCTTTCTGTACTGAATTTACCTAAGAATTTCAGCATTTGCAGCTTTTGGTTGCTTCAGGCTACACAGAGAGGAATCAGACTTAAGGTAGGTGAGTAAAAGAGCGCACACCACTTCAGAACCTGCAATAGTTCCCAATCTCACCGTTCCTCTGCCATCAGGAAACCTTAGGAAACGCACTAGCAAAGTGCATTTCTCATCCCTGTCTTGTGCTGGCCTGCATAGAGGATGACAATCTACTACTATTTTCAGTTACTCTTTTAGGTTAGATACCTGTATGTTGGATTTAAAGATCCTAGCCCTTCTGATGCCCCTGTGGATATTAGTATGATCCATATAACGTAATTGCGTTATAGTTTGTTTTGGGGTTTGGTTTTGTTTTGTTTTTTAACTTAAAATGACATACAGGAAACTATTACAAGAACATGGTCAAAGATTGCAAAAGCGAACCCTCAAGAGTGCAACTTGAATTCAATCCCTTATGAGCTCCTTTATGCATATGCATTACAACACAGTCTTTTAATCATGTGATCACTTGCTGTGTTTGTCCACAACACTCCTACTTCATTTAGCCCATAGGATGGATTTGCTCTGGGCTTGAATCAGAGTTGTGTAGTAAAGATCCATGTTTAATTTGTTGCAAAAGATGGAAGGACATAGTGAGTGTGATAGGGGATTGCAAAGGGGAAGGTGCCGTGTTTAAGGCAAGCGAATGTCACCTCAGAAAACTGAATCTTATCCTTGCCTCTGCCACAGATGCTAGCCAAGTATCTTTAAACCAGACTTCTATAGTTGATGACTAATGGAGTGCTTGTCTTCTTCATGCCCAACTTGAGATCTTGGATTCTGATTGACAGAAGTGCTGAGCATTCCCAGCTGCAATTGAAGTTCATGAGAGTTATGCTTTAAGCATGTAAAGTGCTGTATAATGGTAAGTACTCTGAAAAATCAGGTCCAAGCATCTCAAATTGGGCTCCTCAAATTAGGCAATGCTTATATTTGCTCAGCTCTGCAGCTTCAATAACCGTGTTAATGTATTTTATGGGTAATATTACTGTATGTAAAATTGCTGTAATTCTCCAAGAAAGAAAAGCATGTCTGATCTTTTACAATTCTGCTGAGACGAGTGAGTTCTGCAGGGGTTTGACAGCTCCTCATTCTGGTAATTAGTGGAGCGCCTGGTGTTGCTAAGGAGTTTGGCTGTTCCTTGCTTTCTGTTCTTATCCTTGGCACAAGGAATTTGAGTTAAGACAAACAACCAAGAAAATATCACTGCTTCCCAGGATCATGAAACAAGTTAGGTTGGAAAACATCCTCTGTTCTTTCCAAATAGCTGGTTCTGTATTAAACCCTGAAATGATCCCTGCTAACACATGCAATTTGAAGTCTTTGACAATAGCATTATTTAAGCCACTAAGCCAAGTGCTTCTTTAAAGAAAACATTGTTTTTGACTATTCTTTCTTTTAAAAAAATGCATAGCTTGCTGCATAATCCATCAGCTCTCTTCTGTGAAATCTGTTTGTCTCTCATTGCTTGATGCTGATCGTTTTATAGTATTTACTTGTCTCTCGTCAGTGCTTATTCTGCCCGTTTTATTTAGGGAACGGTTCTGGATAGAATTGACTACAATGTTGAACAGTCATGTGTGAAAACTGAGGAAGGTCTGAAACAGCTGCATAAGGTAAGCTGAAAAGATATTTAAGATGCTGCATCCTTTCTAATCTTTATCTTAACAGCCATCAAAGGTTATGCCAACATGAAAAATAGCAGGTATCTTTTTTTTTCTTTTTCTGTCACGTGGTGGTTGTTCTGTGGCATTCTGTAACAATTTCATCTGTTCTTGCCCCTGATCCAGCTACAGTTGCAGCTTTCCTGAATATCATTTTTATATACGATTCCTGGTTTTAAGCTTCTACATCCATATTTGAGCATCAAAGCAGTGGCTCAATCATTTGAGTGCTGACCTATATCTAACTCCCACTAGCCTCAGTGGGAGTTTGTGCCTAGCTCTCCTGAAAAATCAAGTGGGTTAACTAGTTACCTTATGGCTTGATATACCTCACTTCACATACCCAGGTCTGGAAGGGTCCTGACTTTAGTATATTGGCAGTGCTTAGTTTGAAACTGGCTGTAGGAGTCTTCCCTCATTCTACAGCATTTATTTGGATTTAAGGCCAACCTTCTGTTTCTGCTCTGAACATTGTGGTTTTGGAGTAACTGAAAAGTTTGAACTTGGCAGCAGACTACACCAGAGTCTTATTTAGGGTTTTTTTAAAATAGTGTCTTGTTTTTTCAATTCAGTTCAGTCTTTGCATTGCTTGGAAACAAAATGGAATGAGCGGTTCAAGCTGAAACCTCAACTGCAGTGGACCATTATGTTTTGGAAACCGAGCGTATTGCAAACTTGTATATGGTGTCAGAATTAAAAAGCCATTTCAGAAGAGTATAATACGTTGCTTGCAAGGTTGTTTTTGTGTATTATATGTAAATATGAATTGGTGACCATTTTGATCTTCTAATAAGCATTTTCTTTAAAACAGTGTATAAAATGGACTAGAAATAAGCAAATGCTCCAAACTGGAATAGGATCTTAGCTCTCAGCAGGTTCCCTTTCACTCATTGATTAGAGCAAGGAACTTTGGTGCAATAGGCATTTTATGCTGGCTGTTTTCAGTACGTGTGGGCTGCAGCCAAGCTATTTAATATGAATTTTCTAATCTGTCATGGGAGAGACTCACTGATCAGAAAGATCACGTGAAACACATCCCTGCTGGTTTTAATAATACTGTTGTTTTCTTTGTGTAAAAAAAAAAAAAAAAAAAAAGTCAATTTTCTTTTCTGCTTTAATAAGCAAAGCTGTTTCAACTTGTCCAGAAAGCACTCTTTATAGCCATTGATCTGTCCTAAATTACACTGGAAACTGGATGATATTAATTATTCCTCTTTCATAACAGAATTGCTACCATCCAAGTTGTTGTTTTGAAATGCATAAAAAGCCAGATTTCCATTCTCTGTGGTACCCATCGGTTAACTGCATGCAAAAATGCTTTAGTCAACTTTTGCATTTCAAAATCATTTGATTTCAAAATCATTAAGCCCAAGGGGAAAAAAATAACTTTCATTTTCTTTAGAATGCTTTGCTTTTCATCTTTTTATTAAACAAACCGGAACAAATTTTTGTTCAATTTTGACTTAAATTTTGGGAGGTTTCTCCCTTTGTCTCCTGTTATCATCTATCTAGCCCTCTTGGAAAAGGAAGGGCAGAAAGGGGGAAAGAAAACTGAAAAACTGTTCAATTCCAGTTGAAACCAGATTAAAACTTAACCTAGTTTCAAAGTGTGAAGGTTTTTGTACATTTTTAATTTCCTTCAACAAGTAACTTTTTATGATGTGAAAAATCAAAAGTTAAAATAATTTTTTACCAGCCTTTACTACTCAGATGTACTTACATATCCAGTTGGCTGATCTCTATCTACGGTTTTCACATTTGGATATTTTTAAATGTAATTTCACTTTCAGATGAGCTTCTATTCTTATGAAAAATAATAATGCACATCATACCCCATTTCTTATAGCGCCTTCCCAGGGACCTCCTAAGATAAAAACAGCAGTCTTTTACAGTCATCATGAAGTTGAACCCTCTGACATGAAGCCTTCTGAATGAATGAATCTGTTAGATAAAGTTTCAGTGCATACTTGTAAATACATCTGTGCCAAGTTAGGCATCTACTGATAGTACTCATTTGAGTTAATTTTGTGGGTCCAATTTGCTTTACATTGAGATGTGCCAAATTATAATAGTAACAGTAATAGTAAACAGTAACTTGAGGTATGTGGTAAATAAGGGTCATGCCATACTGTCCTTTTGCATGTTGTCAGAATTAAAGTACTTAACTACCTTTCTTTTGTGTTTATAGGCCGAGCAATATCAAAAGAAGAATCGGAAGATGCTTGTCATTTTAATTTTGTTTGTTATAGTAATTGTCCTTATTGTTGTTCTCATTGGTGTAAAGTCCCACTAGGTAACACTTTTATGACTTTATTTTAATGTGTATGTGATTTTTTTTTTTTTCTTCCCCAATGTGAATGGATGGACCCGCACTCCTGAAAGTTGCCTTTTGAATGTATAAGCCCTAGTGGTACAAAATCTGTGCAATGTTTCAGTAGAACGCTTTTCGCAGTATATTATTCTGTGATATGAGAGGCGTTTGTAAAACTTGAATGGAAAATGTCAGGGCCTACAATAATGCTACCAAAATCAGTCATCCAGTTCTCCATCCAGCTGTACTTGGAATATGCTGGAGTATTTAAAAAATGTGGAAAGTAAGAGAAGAAATTTACAGGAACGTACAATAATTTGTATTTTACTATGTGCAAAAAAGTGTACTGTTCTCTGTAGTCCTGTGTGGCCATTTTTTAGGTTTTTAAACAATGACGGTTTTACGGGATTTAGTACCAAAAACTATGACTTTGAGACAAAATGCCTTAAGATGCACAACATTCTAACTGTTTTGATTCCACTTACTTTCCTCCATATTTTAAAAAAATAATTGGATAGACTAATAAAAAATTATCTTAATTTAGATAATGCGTACAAGGATCAGAGTAATACTTAAAGTGTAAATAACAGGACTTAATCATTGGTGTCTATTAATGTGTTTAGCTGATTAAAGAACTTCTTAAGCCTGAGTAACGACAGGAAAGCTGTTTCTCCTCAAAAGGATCATGTACAATGTTTTTTCTTATTGCAGTGTTTTGGTGTTATTTTTAAGTTCAGCCAGTTGCACTGAAATAATGCTTGAGCTACATCTGAAATAGAAAGGAATTCTTCCTGTCCTCCCTTCCCCCTTATCTTCCTCTGTATTTGGCATGTCCAAGTATCCTATAGTAGTGGATGCTGGACTGTTTGATTCCTTACATGCAGGTAGCACTAAACATTAATTTACACTATCCCCAGTATTGCCCAGTATCCTATCTATCCCCTTAACCTAAATACATAAAAAGGTTTATTTACCTATTGCTACAGTACCTATAGCAGCCATTGTTCCTAGCAGAATTTTGATATATATCTTTTGTCCTCTTTTAGCCAGGCATTAGGAAAGTTTTGGGTGCAGTGTTGGCCATGAACCAAAGCCTGCTGCTGTAGGCATGTGTCAGACCACCGACGCACTTTGAGTTTGCCACGTTTCTGCAGTGGTAGTTTGTTGTAGGCTATGGAAGAGGATGTAGAAAAATTCTGAGCAGTGGAATATTCCAATATTTAATATGGTCATGAAGTGTTATGCAATTTTAGGGCCCTTGCCTTAATATTTTTAATTTGTTTCCTCTAGGGGGCTATTGTTTGTATTGTTACTTGCTGTTCTGACTTATGCAGTGATTTCCATATACTTACAGTGACTGTACCCAAAGCCCCTAAAACCTAGGTCCATATGTCATTTGAGTGTTATGCATGCTGGATGGAAGTTCTCTATACTTAATCATGTACTGATCTCCCGGCTTGTATCCTGTAAATTCATCAGACTCCTACTTTCATTAGTAATGATGAGGACTTGGATGGCATATGTAGATCTTCTTTGATTCACTCCAGGAACAGACTTGTTGGTTAAAAAAGAGTGCAAAGACATAATTGGGTTGTGGCTCCTTTTTAAATCTTTTTACTTTACAGACTTTCCTTGGTCTGAAAAGATCTTGAGGTATTAAGAGTAGTTGGAGGGTCTGTACTTGCTGGGATCCATCAGTGTCATTTTTGTCTCCCCTTGTTGTGTATGACAGACTGCATTCATACTGATGGCAAGGATTGCTAAGAAAAGCATGTTCTGTGTTCCCCTGACTAACGAGCTGTGATTAACATCGCAGACATATATTCTTTATAAGAATTGGCCACAGTAGTGTTTTATTCATGAAAAGCAGAAGATATATTGGAGCACACCTAACAATTGTCCCTACGGTAGGTTTTTCTTAATGGTAGCACTTTAGCCAGCTTTTCTTTTGCACTGACTTTCAAGTCTTATGAATGGTTTCCCTGCTTTTGGAGAGTCCCTCATTGTCCTTTATGAATCAAATACATAACAGTAGGGCAGTAATAATGAGGAGGCTGTTTTACGTTTTGTGACTGGCTTTTTGCAAGGAGACCCATCTTGTATGAAGTGTGCAGTGGGTAGAGTCCTGAACCAATCACTTGCCTGCATGTGGCACCAAAATTGCCTAGAGTTACACATTACACAAATCTTCAGGATAACTGCAGGCAAAAATCCTTGATTATTAAATTGTCCCAGCATCCAAATGCCTTGTACCTTGGCCTGAGTTCAAGCATGGAGAATGCTTGATGTTGAGAGCGTGGCAGGTATCCGATACAGTTTAATCTAAGTAACTTGTTGGGTGACCTGGTGGTTTGTTGAATAGGTGCTAGAGCACATGGAGCCTTTTATCTCCAGGTGTGTAAATTTTCTCAGAATGATTACCAGTATTTAACTAATTTCATCTGATGGATGCTTCATGGCCCGTGTGGAATTAATGGCGGTCCAGTTTCATATGTTGGTGCATTTGGCAAGTCTTAGCAGACGGTCCAGTCCCATTGGCCTTTGAGAGGTGGAGCAATGTAGGAATCCTTGTATTGCTGCTATTGCCACTGAACTTGTTCTCCGGCTGAAGAATACTTTGGTCTCCAGGGATTGCCAGTCCAAACCCTTCACTAAAATTCACATGACAAACTGTAAAAGGAAGAATACCATGTTCAGTCTTGTGGCTGGTGTGCAACTCCCCCTGCCTTTTTGATGATTGTGACTAAAACTACTGTGTCCTTATTGCATTACTGCTGTCTGCATCGTATGGTGTGAAGCAGCACATGGCTATAATTGAATATGCTGTATTTGCAACTTTCTCTCTAACATGAGATGATGTTATTTATTTCTGTCTTGACCAGTGCTTTTGATGATTTATCATAGCTAATGAATTCAAAGAAGTAATAAAACACTTCCAACTTAATTGATCAATTACTATTCATTTTTCTTACATATTTATAATAAAACAAATACTTACACAGATGTCTGTTAAAGAAAAAGAATTTTGTGTTTGTATTTCATCTTCCTTCTAAATTTAGATGAAAGCCATAAAGACTAACAAGACTCTCTTTGCAAAGAAGTGCTTTAATGCCCAATCTCGTGCAACAAGAGCAGTGCCATAATGAGATGGAATTAGAACATTTTAAAGACACAGGCACACTTCAGTGCATTTGAGAGCTTAAAGCCAGCTGCATTGTCTTACATGACATTACTGGATGAGCAAGAAATTGTTAAAAATATTGGTTATGGTGCTGATGTGTTTATGAGGGAAGGGTTCCTGGGTGTGGGAGGATTTTATTTCCTAAATCTTTTCAAATGTCTAAACTTCACTATTTTATTCTTGATATTTATTAACAAGTGAACACCAGCACAGGCAGTCTAGCTGGTGAGCTGGAGCAGATGGTGGTGTGCGTACCCAGAGGTAACGAATCAACACGGTCACGTTACCCCAGTGGCCATGCCACTGTCCTGCTCTTAACCACCTCTCTGCAAGATGCTGCAGTGGTAATCAGTTAAAAATATTCCCTGGCATGGGGTGGGTATGTCCTCTAGCACGACTTCTTCATGTTGGATCCCTCCCCTTCTCCAGTGGAACCGTTTCGTTTTTAGAATCTGCCATGGGAGAAGGTATAGGATTTGGCTGTTGATGTGGAAAGCCATTTAACAGAGAGACACCTGCAAGGGTCAGTAGAATAAAATTGTTATATAAATGTTCTTTACAAATCACGACTTTGCTTATCTGTAATGAATACACTGGTGGTCTGCAGACCTCTTAGCTTGTACTGAAGTTCTTCACTAAAATACAAACCGTTTTACAAAAACAAATGACCAAATTACATTGAAGTACCAGTGACACTTGCTGGAATGCGTTCTTTTGTTATATGTTCAAAAACTACCCAGTATTATAAGCTAATGTCAGTAGGGTATGATGAGTTTGTAAGGCAGTCTCTACCGTGCTCAACTGAAGTATTCACCCATCTGGCAGGTCTTGGGACCTGAGGGACAGAAGAATTTCTTAAACTGCATTAATTTAGGTTATAAAGCACTAGACTATTTAACCCCTTGCTGTGTATATTCTGTTTTGAAGCTGTGGGGGGGTGTTCTCATTTGCTTTTTTTACAATCTTGTTTTTCACTACAGCCTTTTATAGCATGCTACAAAATGAGATGCGACCTAAAATTGGAATTGTGATTTTTTTTTTTTTCTTTCCTAAAGAGAATTTAGTTAAATCTGTCTTCAACTAAAAATTCAACTGCTGTTTCATCCTCAAAGAGAAGCTCATGCAAACTACTCCACAGGGTGCATCTTTTAGTGCACAAGGCATCTGAATAGATCTTGATCAATATAGAACTTCATGAGGTGGTTGTGGAAAGCCGCTGGGATTGTATGTGTATTGTAATCTATTCATTTGTAATCAGAGCAATTGCAGTGTTTGAGGGGGCGTGGGTCAAGAAATCTGCCATTAAACCTAAGTTATATTTTCAGGCCAATTTCTGAACTCGACTGAATGTAAGATATGTACATTCCAGAGGGTTTGCAAACCTGAGATCTCTTCTGTTTATCCATCACGGTGTTCTGGTCAGGCGATCTTAATAAAATATACAGACAAGCAAGAGTCACCGCTTTCAGGGACTGTTAGGATCTTCTTTTTAATGCTCAGCTGATTGATATACATGGGGATAACTTATTTCTTATTTTGAATAGTGGTTTTTCAATGTTTTCCATATTCACAGAAATATTTTCTTGATTGAATGTCTCTAAATAATGTCTGTTCCCAGATAGTTTGTCAAAACTTTGATTTATAAAATAAACACCTTCTTAAAATAAGGAACCCAGTCGATGTTTCTGTATGTTGAAGTGTGAGCAGTCACATAACTCTACTGATGGCCTGATTCAAGAAACGCTTTTAACCATCACAAGGTTAAAAATTACTGTGACCGCAGAAACTTGGTCTCTGCTCAGACTCCCGTCATTCTCAGCATCATTGCAAATGCACTGCTGCTAGCAGCAGTGGAAAATTTTTAGGAAATTTCCATAGTGCAGATAAGGTTTAGAAAGGGAAATTAGACTTTCTCAGCAAATCCAGTGCCTTGATTAGAATCCTGATCCCACACCAGTATAGTCCGTGAATGTAGAAGCAGGCCCTAGGTGAGAAGTAGGGCTTTGAGCCCATTCCAGATCTTAACCTACAGAGCTCGGAAACATTGTAGGCTTAACTTTAATAGCCCTGCACCGGCAGCATTTAGATGAGATGATGCTTATTTTCCAGCTATTGGTCTTTGCACATCTAAATGCAACATACTTCCATACCTGCTGTTTCTTACATTTCTTTCCACTGAAAGTCTAGGTTTCTTTGCACAGAACTGAAACCAGAGCAGAATGTGTCCTCAGGCTTAGCGAGATAGCATTGGAAAAGCTGAAGATGAAACCTGTGTCCTGGGTTGTTCCCTAACAATGTAGGATTGTTCTCTGTGATGCATTTTCTAGTTCCTAATCCTGGCCAGGCAATCTTAATAAAATATACAGACAAGCAAGAGTCACTGCTTTCAGGGACTGTTAGGATCTTCTTTTTAATGCTCAGCTGATTGATATACTCAGGATTAAGACTGCCTTATCCAGACTGATTTTTTTAAATGTTCCAAGCAGGGACGTTTCCACTGCTTCCCTTGGAAAGTACCACGGTTTAATAAGATCTTCCTGTAAGGAAGTTTTTCCTGGAATTTAGCCTAAATTTCTCCTTTTCAAATGTCTTGCCATTGCTCTTGCTGGCATTCCCTTTTGCCACCGTAAATAAATCCACCCTCTCTTTGAAGTTTAGATCCCTCGCATATTTGTAGATTATCGTGTGCCCATTCCCTGCTGACCTAACCTTAATAGGAGCTGTTTGGCAAGCATGCAGAGATGAAAATACAGCCTGGTGGGTTTAAAATAAACATATTTCAGTTTACTACTAGAGGTGGAGTTTGGAAAACATTGTTCTCATTAATGACTCCACATGCTGCATCTCAGCTTGCCTTGGCGATTTCCCTGTTTTGGGCCTGCTCCTTCCACAAAGGGAGTTCAGGTCTAATGCTTGCAGTTTATGAATGCGAAGGGGAACAGTCAACCCTTTCTGCACCTAATTTAGTAGCAAATTCATGCTTTCAAAAGCAGTGTTTCTCTCTGCTACTGGGTATTGAAACCCCTGCCAGGGAGGGAAAACTCAGGCCCCTGCAAAAGTTGAGTGCGGTCTTAAAGGTAGACAGAGGGCAACTGCTACAACGCTCCCGAAATGTGGGGCCATGGACTTGCTGGGGAGTGAGGTGACCTCCCAGTTTGCACAACTTGACAGTCCTGGGTTTTTCCCAACATGTCTCTGAATTGTTGGTTTCTACTGTGCAAGTCGCCAGGTTAACAACTCCATTGCGTGTGTGTGTGTGTGTGTGTGTGTGTGTGTGTTAGTCATGATCAAGGTGTTAGTATGTGAGTCAAAGTTATGTCCTGTGTCTGTCAGTTGTGCCCAATGTGGGTGTGTTAGTATGTGTGTCAAAGTTATGCTGTGTGTGTATGTAAGAAAGTCATGCCGTGTAAGTCATGAGGGGGTGCATGTGTGTAATGCCCTGTGTGTGTATTAGTTATGCCATGTGTGTGCATGTGTTAGCCATGCTCAAGGTGTTAGTATGTGTGTCAGTTATGTCCCGTGTCTGTCAGTTGTGTGTGTTAGTACACATGTGAAAGTTATGCATAGAGTGTGTGGGGGGGGTGAAAGTCATGCCCTGTGTGAGTCATGCTGGGGGGGAATATTAGTGTGTGTATAATGTCCTGTGTATGTATTAGTCAGGTCGGGGGGGGGGGGGGGGGTGTGCAAGTCATGCCCTGTGTAAGTCATGGGGGGTACATGTGTGTGATGTCCTTTATGTGTGTATATTCGTTGTACTAATACTATATATATGTGTGGTGGGTGTGCATGTGTTAGTCATGCTCAAGGTGTTAGTGTGTGTGTGAAAGTTATGTCCTGACTGTCAGTTGTGCTCTGTGTGTGTGTGTTAGTACAGATGTGGGAGTTATGCTGCGTGTGCGTGCATACACAGCATGATGCTCTGTGTGTGTGTGAGAGTCATGCTGGGGGGGGTGTTAAAGTTATGCCCTGTGTTCATGCAGGGGTGTGTGTGTGTGTGTGTGTGCGTGCGCGCATCAGTCATGCTGGGGGAGGGGGAGGGGGGGTGATGCCCCGTGTGTGTACGTATAGTCCTGTAGGTGTGTGACAGTCACGCCGTGTGTACGTCGCGCTGGGTGTGTGTGACCCCCCGGTGTGTGTACGTACAACCCTGTCGGGAGCGGTCGTCGCCCCCGCCCCCCCCCC